ACTAAGTGCTTTGTATGATCTGATTAGTGTCAAATTATCTTTGCAATGTAGCAAGAAAACATACTGCCGAAGTCCAATGCTAGTACTTAAAACCCATAAAAATACATCTACAGGTTAAAAGAAACTGTATTTAATATCCTGGTATAAAACATTAATTTTGATCCCTCATTTATTAAGACATTCCCCCCGCCTCATGATAAATGGGACAAAGATAGAATTGAATTTGAAATGGGGAAGAGAGCCAATCTGCAATCTGTAGGTAAGCTTTTGTACAAACCCTTTGTTAGATTATTTGCAATTATTTCATCCACCAAAACTCCCTTATCTAGTCCCTAAAGCACATATCTTTAAATTTAAGATCTAAGAAGAGAAATATAGCATTACAGAAGCCATGCTTCTTGCTAGGAATCTAGGAATTCTCTCACTTCAAAACTCAAGTGACTACTCCTCAATGAATTACAATTTCACACTCAGACTACTGATTACGGTTTTGTCCTCCAGCTGAATTCTATTCAAATAGCTAAAATATAAGAATTTGGTCATATTTGCAAATGTCTTATAAAAAGAAAGAAAAAAACAATCTTACCAGGTCTTCATTGCTGGCTACCTGTTTATATTGCGAACAACTTCTCCACAGCACTGCAAGTAAACATACCAATTCTTTTTGTTAGGTGAGTAGCTAAAGAAAGTGTTTTTTATGGAGGCAAGATGAATCAAGGGACACAGTATAAATAACAGGTTTTATATTCATCATACTCACAATGACCGGATAAAAACCTTTTGATTAACACAAAGACAATATGGATGTGCCATCGAGGGCTTTGGAAAAGGGGCATATACACCCTTTCACCACCCATAGAACTCTCACCTGCTCTCTTCCGAAATTTATTTTCCCTTAACTCCAGGTTTAGAGACAGATTTTTAATGCGAATACTTAGGGGAGAAGCAATGGAAAGGCACTGCACCAAAGGGAAAATGAGTAAGAGAGCCCTTAAAGAGAGTACTGACAGAGAAGCACACAGAAGATAAATGTGCAGAAATGAGATTCGAGGGCCTATGTCACAATTTCGCCCTGATCTGGGACCTCAGACATCTGGAATTTGTCGCTGGATACTAAGTTCACCTGGAGACCTTAGGCAAGTCCCCGCCTGCCTCTTTTTGATAATCACCCCATTAGTTTTGTTTTTAGGTTTTTTTTTTTTTCAGGTGAAGCAACCCTTGGTTGACCTCACAGATTGCAAGGATCCTGTCAGCTTACGATCGTTTTTTTTTTTTTTTTATTGTTATTTTTTAAAGCCTATAGCACCTGGTCTTTCTAGGTGGTCTCCCATGCAAGTACTAACCAGGCTCGACTCTGCTTAGCTTCCGCGATCAGACTGGATCGAGATTTTTCAGGGTAGCATGGCCTTAGACTTTTTTTTTTTTTTAAAGTGTGCTGGAAAACATCTCACGTCCCCTTCAGTTTTAAAATACTAGTCATGGGCCATTACAGATTCCCCCCTATCTTGGATTAAGTCTTAAATCCCCTAGAAACCGGCGCCGCTTAGCTAACAGTGGCGACTCTACTGACCTTAGGACTAAAGCAACAGCTGCAATGCTACAAGGGAACATAAGATATGGAGACTTTACCCGCCTGAGTTCCGGGATTTGGGAGGCAGACAGCAGCCGTTACATAGTGGATCAACTTTCTTCTCCCTAGACCATTGCAAGCATCAACCATTGCGGCCATGGTTCCTCGTTCCTCTTCTTTCTTTCCTCTTCATAAACCGTCCTCACAGTCTTTTCCGGTGTTCCTCCCCTGTTTCCCCGAGTACTCCACTTAAAGGTTCCGCTAGCAAAGCCTAGGGCCAGTGGCGGGAGCGGGGAGTGGGCGGGTTTTTCAATGCGCCTGCGCAGCACCTTTACGTTCTCGCCCTCACCGCGTCTCAAGCCCGCGACACTTTGATTGGATGAGAAGGCGGGCACCCACGTCTGTGCCTCCGCTTCCGGTCTGAGAACTATTAAGTCTTGGTCTTTCCCAAGGGTGGTTGGGGGGTGTGCAAGCGTTACCTATTTTGCTACCGGCGCGCCTTGCCCTCCACTCACTGGGGTTTGGCGGCTGAGACACGGTGGACGACGTTCGGGCAGGGCCCTAGGCCCCTTCCATGGATGAATGTGGTTCGCGCATCCGCCGGCGTGTGTCTGTCCGCAAAAGGAACCGTCCTAGCCTAGGGACCATTTTTGCCACCCCCACCGCGGCCGAGCTCAAGCCCAGCAATGAGGAGGAGACGGAGGAGGAGAAGGCTGGGAGTCGGCGGCGGAAAACTGTGGGCGTGCAACCGCTCGAGGTACAGCCGGATCAGCTCTCAAATTCCCCCGAGTTCTTCATCCCATATCCCGCGTTTGGGGCGATGATACAACCCAAGCCTCTTACTGCCCATACCCACTGAAAGAGGAGGAGTGGGAGGCCAGCTACAGAAAGCTTGCAACTTGAAACCACAAAATTTTGGCATTTCCCTTCTCGGGTGCAAACGTTTGACCAATTGTCTACTAGTCTTAGTGTACTTACCTTGGCTTTGTTATCGCTGTTAATTATCACTTGTAAGGTATTGCCTTGTTATCCTCGTTTTTATATAATGAAACGTAGACCCCCGAGACGGAAAAGATAACGCACGCAGCAAGTTAAGTGGGATGACTGAGAGGCAAAGTCAGACTTCGAGGTTACTGCTGCTCCTGCTGTACTGATAAAATCTATTTATTGCACATACATATGTGCTGAGTAAGCTATTTACATTATCTAGATTTTACAATAGAAATCAGGCCCTGAGAAGTTAACTTTTAGTGAGGTGACATCCCAATAGATGTCTGTAAGTTCTGCTACCTCTTTAAGGATTTAGCACTGGCTGAAGAATTAGGATTCCAGAATCACCACATGCTAGGAGTGTAGTATAAGCAAGTTACCTACCCTCTCTGGGCCTCCATTTCTTCATCTGTAAAATGGGGATGATAATATATGTTTCACAGGGTGATTTACATTTAGGTCTATAAGCCATGTGTGGCCATTTAATTATATACCTGGCATAATCCTAGGCTGAAGCTAAAATTGACCATAAATATTTTTGTTTTCTTTCCAGAATAATGATAGTGAAGAGGACATGTTTGGTGACTATGATAGCTTTTCTGAAAACTCTTTCTTAGCCCAAGTTGTTGACCTGGAACAAAAATACATGCAACTTCCTGAAAATAGGAAACATGATACAGACTTTGCCACTGAAGATCTTTGTTCAGAAAGCATCAAACATAACAGAGTTAGCATTACCACTGTAGGCAGCTTTACTGAATTAAAAATGGAGGAGCACACAAAGAACCAGAGTGGTCATGAAGATGTCTCTATTGAACTTGGAGCTGATCTGTTGTATGAATTGCCTTCTTCACAGGTTTTATACTTTGGAAATGTGCAGAACTCTTCAAATGATTTTGGGGATCAGTCTACTAAAGAGAGGGATTGCAGCTCCGCCTCTCTTAAGACTGTGAATGAAGAATTGCCCAATAATAGTGTAGAACAACCCCAACAAATCAATGCCTCTTCTAATGTCAGAACCAGTTCAGACGTGAATAGGAGAAAAAGTCTTAAAGATCATCTAAAAAGTGCCATGACTGGAAATGCCAAGGCCCAAACACCAATGTTTTCTAGGACTAAACAGCTCAAAGAAACTCTCCTATCTGAGGAAATTAATGTTGCTAAGAAAACAATTGAGTCATCATCAGATGACCTTGGACCTTTTTATTCATTACCCAGTAAAGTGAGAGACCTTTATGTTCAGTTCAAGGGAATTGAAAAATTATATGGTAATGCTTTTTGCTGGAATGGAAAAAATTTTGCCATCATTACCATAGTATTAGTGCAAATCTATAGGAAGCAGATACTTACATTGTCATATAGCTCATCTTAAATGAAAATGTCAGCCCTCTCTCAACCTATCCCTGTCCTGCTAATACTGAACCTCTTTTCTTCCCTTCGTGGTCACAATTCTCAAACCTGTTATCTTGCTGTCTCTCTGTCTTCAACCTCAAATAATTCCCAACCCACTCCAACACTGGGTTCTGTGCTCTCACTTAAGATAAAATGACTCGAGTGTGTAAACTCAATGATACTTTTAGTTCTTACATGACTTCTTAGTAACTTACCTGACACAATTAACCAGACCCCTTTTGAAACACTCGTTTCTTGACTTCTTGACATTCCACTCCTGGTTTTTTCTGATTGTTTAGCTGCTACTCAGTTTTTTTAGCTGGTGTTTCCTTGGCTGGCTGGCTTTCTTCTCTACCAAAACTTAGTTGTTGGAATTCTTTTAACTACTGAGATGACTTGAGTGAAAGAAGTCAGTATTAGTAATACCACTGAATAAATATTTTTAAAGGTAGCTGAAGATTGTGTAAAGAATACTGATAACAATGTATCGTGATGTTTTTCAAAAATCCTGGGTTCTTGCATATATTTCAAATATGTGTCATTTTAGACAAAAAGGGACAGTCGCTGAAGATGAGCCTATCAACCAGTCACTTCATAAGTATTTCTGAAACTCTTTTCTTAGTATCTTAGGAACCATATGAAAACATGGATTCTTATCTTGGAGAAGACAATCAGATTGGAGCAGTAGAACTACAGGAAACAGTCTAACATTAGACAAGTGTCTAATATATTCTAAATTGTGAGGTTTGTAGTTTAAGAGCTAATGATGTGTATTGCTCTTGAAGTAGATGTTAACTTCCCACCCTTTGCTTTTCTCCTAGCACCTTGTTCTTATTTTAATCTGCATCTCCTACCAGAATGAATATCCTGAGGAGAGGGCTCTGTCTAACTCATCTTTTTATTACATAACTAGCTCTGTGCCTGGTGCACTCTGATAGGTTCTCAACTGCTGGGGTTGTCAGCTGAGGTATGAATTCTGGCCCTGTCACTTAAACGCAAGTTTAGCAATCTGAGCCTTAGTTCCTGATCTGTTAAAAAGGAATGATGGTGATGATGATGATAATAGTTTTCTTGCAAGTTATGTGTCAAGGACATTCCAAATTAGACTTTATATTGGTAGCTTTGAAGTATGAACTTTGGTAAATAACTTTTTAAATCTCCTTTTGTAAATCTTGCTTAATGTCATGAACAGTTTAAAACAATTATGTGTGCTGTTTTTCATTGAATTAAAGCATGACTTTCAAAGTGCAGTTTCACCTGAAGTCATGCTTTCAAAGTTCAGGTGAAACTTGAACTAGCATCAGCATCACCTGAGCACTTGTTGAAATGTACATTCTCAGGCCCCACCCCGACCTACTGAATCAGAACCTCTGAGGGTGAGACTAGCAGTCTGCTTTCACAAGCCCTCCAGGGAATTCTGATGTGCCAAAAATTTGAGAACCACTGAGCTAGAGAACCTCCACTTTATACTGTTATTTTTGCTTTTCTATAGTAGAATTAAATATTTAATGTGTTTTATTTAAATGTTGAGAACTAAGTTAATTTGCTTTTTTAATGTTTGAAGATAAACAATATTCTTAAATATTTGTTATTTTAGTCATTTTATACTTTAAAAATCTGAGTTGGATAAAATGTAGATATGGCCAAATATTTTTACATAAATATCTGCAGTTTGATAACTAATAGGTGATACTAGTCTGGAGTATTTTTTAATATTTATTAAATTTAAGGATTTAAGTATTTTTGACATTTTTAAGATCTTTTTTCTGAAATATTTTTAAAGTAAAAAAGTACATAGTTATTTACAAAAATTTGAGAATCACCAAAAAAAGCACAATAAGTCACTTGTAACTGTCATTCATGTATAACTGTTTTAATACCTTTGTAATATGTCCTGTTAATCATTTTTTAATTTTTTGGGAAAACATGCAAAATATCCAAGCCCATCTTTTCTTTGCATATATTCTGTGCCTGTGCACTCTGATAGGTTCTCAACTGCTGGGGTTGTCAGCTGAGGTATGAATTCTGGCCCTGTCACTTAAACGCAAGTTTAGCACTCTGAGCCTTAGTTCCTGATCTGTTAAAAAGGAATGATGGTGATGATGATGATAATAATAGTTTTCTTGCAAGTTATGTGTCAAGGACATTCCAAATTAGACTTTATATTGGTAGCTTTGAAGTATGAACTTTGGTAAATAACTTTTTAAATCTCCTTTTGTAAATCTTGCTTAATGTCATGAACAGTTTAAAACAATTATGTGTGCTGTTTTTCATTGAATTAAAGCATGACTTTCAAAGTGCAGTTTCACCTGAAGTCATGCTTTCAAAGTTCAGGTGAAACTTGAACTAGCATCAGCATCACCTGAGCACTTGTTGAAATGTACATTCTCAGGCCCCACCCCGACCTACTGAATCAGAACCTCTGAGGGTGAGACTAGCAGTCTGCTTTCACAAGCCCTCCAGGGAATTCTGATGTGCCAAAAATTTGAGAACCACTGAGCTAGAGAACCTCCACTTTATACTGTTATTTTTGCTTTTCTATAGTAGAATTAAATATTTAATGTGTTTTATTTAAATGTTGAGAACTAAGTTAATTTGCTTTTTTAATGTTTGAAGATAAACAATATTCTTAAATATTTGTTATTTTAGTCATTTTATACTTTAAAAATCTGAGTTGGATAAAATGTAGATATGGCCAAATATTTTTACATAAATATCTGCAGTTTGATAACTAATAGGTGATACTAGTCTGGAGTATTTTTTAATATTTATTAAATTTAAGGATTTAAGTATTTTTGACATTTTTAAGATCTTTTTTCTGAAATATTTTTAAAGTAAAAAAGTACATAGTTATTTACAAAAATTTGAGAATCACCAAAAAAAGCACAATAAGTCACTTGTAACTGTCATTCATGTATAACTGTTTTAATACCTTTGTAATATGTCCTGTTAATCATTTTTTAATTTTTTGGGAAAACATGCAAAATATCCAAGCCCATCTTTTCTTTGCATATATTGTTTTCTAATACTGGGTTTATACTATCCAACACACATGTATAATCTGTTTTTTTCATTTAACTGTATTGAGCATAAATCTACTCCCTCATTTTCAAGCTGCAGAGAATTACATCATATGATCGTGCAAAAATTTATTCAACCTTTATCCCCCCAGTGGCTCTTTGTTATATATAAACAGTGCCATGATGAACATCTTGCACATAATCTTTCTGTGTGTCCTTGCTTTTATTTCTATGTGTGTAGAGTTCTAGAAGTAATACTACTAGATCAAAGATAATGTGCAGTTTTATTTTTGATACTTCTAGAATGCTTCCCAAAAAATTTATAGCAGTTTATGTTCTCATAAACCATACACAGGGAATGCCTGTTTGTCTCCACTCTAGTCAGCTCTGGATTTTATATGCATAGGCCTTTTTTTTGCCCCTACTTATTTGTTTTATTTGTTTGCCAACCCAATAGGTAACAGTTAAGCATCTTTTCATATGTTATTAGCTATTGCATTTCTCCCTGCAGTGAAATACCTTGCCACATCTTTTGCCCATTTTTCTAGTGATAAAATACTGGTGCATATTTTGCAGACTTCTAGTGATCCAGGTTGTCAAATTATCCTTCAGAGTAGTTATACTAGTTTTTATGCCATGTTTTGGATCTGACGTAATGCCATTCATGAATTCCATCTTGCTAAACTGTGGAAACTCTAGGTATGCCAGTTAATAATCCTAGTTTTTTATGGTTTAAACTCAGTTTAAGATGGTATTAAGTCCATTAAAAATTCAGCTCCCCTATGAAAGCTAGTTGAATAGTCTTTCTTGGTTTGTAAAAAATCTCATGTTTTTTCCTTCTCCCCCTATTTTTCTGTAAGATGGTGTTTTGATGAATGAGAAAGGGAAGCTTCGCAATCTCCTTGCAGAATGTAAGAGGAAGGCCTTAAAATTCACACAGATCTTTGTACTGTCTTGTAGCTGCTCTGGTGACCCAGATGATGCCTCTTGTCCAGCAGGCACTGCCTGCCCTCTTGGGATCTTAAATCTAAGTCTGCAACTGGCAAGTAGGTGTGCTAGTTAGTTGCCCACCTCGCTGACCAGATCTGAGTTAGAATTAGACTCTTCACTGGTTGTGCACATCACACATTGGGGATTTTTGACATTTAATATTGATGTGTGATTACATTTATCATTATAAGAACTACACAGGGTGGGATTTGATTTTTCCTTCATAGAAAACTTGATTTGAGGTTGAAATTGTAGAGGGGAAAATAATGCTTGTTATTTTTTTTTAATTCCACAGAATGGCAACATACTTGCTTAACACTGAATTCTGTGCAAGAAAGAAAAAATTTAATATATTCCTTGCCAACAAGTGGTGGAAAGACCCTCGTAGCTGAGATTTTAATGCTACAAGAACTGCTTTGCCGGCGCAAAGATGTTTTAATGATCCTACCATATGTGGCAATTGTCCAAGAAAAGGTGTGATTTTTTTTTTAACAAGTGATATTTGCTAATGTTATTTTGGCATTAAGATATGAAAAGTAGCATAAATACTTTTTATTGACCGAGAAGAGGTACCTCTTTTAATGATGAAGAATTAATATTTTTAGAATGTACAAAAGCAGTATGGAGCACTTAACTGAAAATCTCTTCTGATACTAATCACCTGTTGCAGAAAGAATTATTTTTCTAAGCTGGTGGGTTAAACATTATAAATGTCTACTGATTTTAGCTTGCTTTGAATTATATCATCAAAATAAATGAGTTATTCTGATAATTTTATATCAGAAGAGACAGTTGAAATTTATTTTCTTATATATTATCTAGTTTAAAAGTTCATTTTGTAAAGATCAACACATTAAGTATGACATTTCTTAGTTATACATGTCCTATCCATGACCAGATAGTATCCCCTTGATTGATATTAAACACAATTTTAGATTTTTTAAATCTCTGTGTGCACTTTAATAATTAGAGTTCTTATTTACGGGGAGTTTTTTGTTTGTTTGTTTTGTTTTGACTAATATTCTAGATTTCAGGTTTGTCAAGTTTTGGTATAGAACTGGGTTTCTTTGTTGAAGAATATGCCGGAAGCAAAGGAAAATTTCCTCCAATTAAAAGAAGAGAAAAGAAATCACTATATATTGCCACTATTGAAAAAGGACATGGTCTGGTCAACTCCTTGATTGAAACTGGAAGGATTAGTAGTCTGGGTCTGGTTGTTGTGGATGAGGTGGGTCACTGCTTTTATAGCTTATCAACATTTTTATTATACTAACATTATTATGTGGATCTGCTTAGTACCTTTATGAGAATAAATGATATATTTTAATACATAGAAGATACAGATGAAAACATTTCATACTTGGTAATATTAAATTCAGTTTTGTGTCAAGTGTTTCTTGAATAGAAAATATATTTGTATGTATATTCAATTTTACAGGACTTATGAATTCCAGATGTGTCAAGATGTTGCCCCCAAACCTCATTAACTTAAAATACCAGTGAAATAATGCATATATGCTCTAGTTGCGACATCCAAAATACTTAAGAGTTATAAAGACTACTGCTTTTCATACAAATATATGCCTGTTTTATATAAGTATTATATGCAGATTTATTTTTTCTCTTTTAAAAAAAAAAAAATCTCCAGTTGCACATGATTGGTGAAGGAAGCCGTGGGGCTATACTAGAAATGACCCTAGCAAAACTCCTCTACACTAGCAGTAAGTATTTTTTCAAATGTCGTCACTAATTGATTTTTAATAAAACGACCTATAAAAGACTTAATTTATCACTAGCTAGATTACGTAACCTAGAGTAAGATACTTAAGCTTTCTACTTTAGATTTTTATTTTAAGGTAAGCTTTTAAATTTTTGTTGGAAGAATACATGAATGAGGATAATTGTGAAGATAAGTGAAATTAACATTTGAGGATGTCCCTCATTATCTTTCACTTACTATCTGTGTGTGCTTAGGCAGGTGACTCAACCTTTCTGTTTCTTCATCTATAAAATACAGATAATAATGATACTGACCTGATAGGATTGGTGTGAGGATTATATGAGTTAACACATGTGAAACATTCAGCAATGCCTACCACATAGCACTCAATAAGTTTGCTGCTGCTGCCACCATCAGTATCATCATCATCACCATATTAATAATGCAATATATTCAAGTAGTCATTTTAAATAACTATTTTGCAATACGAGATATTCTTTAAACGTACATGAAATATTAATCCTAGATGCCTTCTCTACTATTTAATAATATGCTGTTGCAATAACTTAGCTTATATATGCAAAAATTAATTATAAAGGTCAAATCTTAGGAATTGTTTTTAAAATTTTAATAGCAATGGTATTTGGACATATTTTAGCACTTTGTAATCATTCATTCAAAAAACATTTATTGAGTGTGTGCCAGACACTACTTTAAGTGCTAAGGATACAACAGTGAATAAAAGAAAGTCCCTGCCTTCATTAAACACATTTTAACGCAAGTGAACAGACAATAAGCAGATAAACAAGAAGACATATGGTGTGTCAGATGGTGACATGTTCTATGGAAAAATATAGAGAAAGAGAGGAGAAAGATCACCTACTTGTCAAATCCAGTGTACACTGATTATTCTTGTCTCAACTTTTCTTCAACATTTAACTATCATTTATTTATTGTTTGTTTGTTTGTTTGTTTTTATGGTGACATTGGTTAACAAAATCCAGTAAGTTTCAGCAGTAGACTTTAACAGTAAGGCATATATATATTTACACTGCGTGTTCACCTCCCATAGTTAGATTTCTTTCTGTCACCTCATATTTGACCCCCTTTACCCTGTCTACTTCCTCCCTCTCCGCACTCCCTACCTTCTGGTAACCACTAATCTATAGTCCATGTCCATGAGTCTCTGTTTGTTTCTCCTGTTCATTTGTTGTTTATATCTCACATATAAGTGATATCATGTGATTTTCAACTTCTTCCGTCTGGCTTATTTCACTTAGCATGATTATCTCGAGGTCCATCCATGTTGTCGCAAATGGCAGTATTTCATCTCTTCTTATGGCTGAGAAATATTCCATTGTATATATGTACCACAGCTTCTTTAGCCAATCATCTATCGTAGGACACTTCGGTTGCTTCCATGTCTTGGCCACTGTGAATAATTTTATTCTTGTCTCAACTTTTCTTCAGCATTTGACTGTTTATCATTCTTTTTTCCTTTGTTTACTGCAACATCATTCTCTCTTGGTTTCCCTGCTCTCTCTCTGTGTAAGAGGGATCACATGGAAAAATAGCATAGCATACTGTCTGAGATCAGACTCTGGAACTAGATTCAAATTTTAGCTTACTTCTAACCACATGCATGACCTTAAGCAAGTTGTAGTAACTGTGCCTCTCTTTCCTTATGCCCCAAAAACGGATGATAGTAATAGAACCTTCTTCACTGAATTGCTGTGAAGATGGCATGAGTTAATATTGTAAAGCATCTAGCATAGTACCTACACATAATGGAGATGTGTTTGCTATTACTGTATACTTATTCATCTTTCTACACCAGTACCTTACACTTAATATTTTTAAATGAAATTAATATCTTTAGTTTTTCCTTCCTGTTCTCCTTTGTGACACCTCATTCTAAGCATGTTTATTATGTACATTGGTGTTACCATAGAGTCATCTGAGTCTCTTCTCTTGTGTCCTACTTCATACTGTTTCTGCTAATTCTTATCCACACTCAGGATATCAAGTGCTTCCTGTGTGCTAATGGCTCCCGATCTGTATTTCCAGCTTATAGTTCCCTTCTCAGTGATATCATCTACCAACTGGACACTCCTATTTGAATATCCTGTGAACAGCTGAGAGTCACGTCCAAGTCTATTTTTACAAACCCATTCTTCAGTCTGAATTCCCTGCCACCATCTGCCAGCCAGCCAAGCCAGAATCTTAAATCCTCACTCCTGCACATTCTGTTGGCAAGCAAACCCTCTCTGGTCTACCTTATAAATACATTTTTTAATTCTCTCCCTCCTGTCCTTCATGCTACTAAATCTTCAGATTAATACCTCATCCTTTCTTACCTAGATTACCACAGAGATCAACACAGACTTTTGTCTGCCTTCAGTCTTGATCACTGCCCTCTCCCTCACCAAATCTGTCTTCTCTAGAGCAGTTAGAATATTTCATAAATGCAAATCCCCTATTTATAGTCCTTCCATAGCTTCCCTTTGTTTCTGCATAAATCCCAATTTTCTGAGGACAGCCTTTCTTTAATTGGCCACATGTTCACCTCTTCAGCTTCATAGTCCACCCTTATGGAGTGGGAAGGGACAATGCTTATTCCTCTTTCAAATAACATCTTGAGTGATAAAATTTCAAGATTAAAGATAACAGCAGTGAAAAAGCACTGGCCAAGAAGGCCTCTTTGTTTTTTGATAGCTAAGTGGAAAGCAGCAATTTTGTACTGCCCGGGAAGTCATGCAGCTTCATGAGTTTCACGCCATCTTTATTTTAAAATAAAGAAAACCTGATAGCAAGATTCCATAAAGAATTTTTCATGTGGCAAGAGTTCTGGACTCATTCAGCCCTACATCCTACACTGTCCGTCTGCATATGACTGTACCCATAGAAACTGTTGTAGCTCTTCGTAAAGATAGTTAGCAACAACTATGTATACGCTCATTATTGTTTAGAAGTCTTAATAAAGATCCTATTTCTTGCTAAGTTTGAAATTTTATAAAATTCTAAATAGTAACTTTTAGGATATGAGAAATATTTTATTCTTTAACTGCCAGATAAATACTCTGATAATATATTTTTCTTACACAACCCCACCCCTTTACCAAAGCACTCAGGAAGAATTTAGAACACAAAAAGGTTGCTAAAAATTATTATGGTATATTAAGTAACAAATTTTTCTCAATACTTTGGATTTTTTTCGTAGAAACAACTCAAATTATTGGTATGAGTGCAACATTGAACAATGTTGAAGACCTACAAGAGTTCCTTCAAGCAGAATATTACACCAGTCAATTCAGACCAGTATGTGCCTGAGGTTTGCACTGTATCGATTCATTGTGTATCATCTTACTTAGAAACAAAAGTAATTAATGTACCATATAAAAAAATTCCATAAAGTAGCAAAGGGCCATAATTCCATTTACCATGGCTATATGCTAATAAGCTTGAATTTGAATATAGAGAATGTGAACTCTGTGGGGTCAAGAGATCTTGGCTTGGGTCACAACTGTATCTGTAACACCCGAAACAGTGCCTGGCCCATGGGCCTTCAATGAATATTTATCGAATGAAATTTTCTAGACCCATACTATTTTTCCATTGCTTATTCTCTGAGGTAAAAATTTTCATGTCAAAATTTAGTGATTTATGTTTTGATTTATTGGCACATTAAAAATGTTATCTCAAAAGTTAAAATATTTATGCTTTGGTAGTTATAATGCTTCTTAAACATGTTTAGACTTAACATGGATTTAAATTTAAACTTCTCAATAATAGCATTCCCAAAATTCTTGAAGAAAGTAAATAATGTTTCTGTCTGCACTACTAATGTGCATGTTCTGTCTCTAAATGGATTTTCAGAAAATGATTTTTGAGAATTACCAAATTTTAATTTGAAAGTTGATGTTTTTACATTTGCACCAAATATGAAAATTTTCAAGGATATTTTCTGACCTTAATTGTAAAATTAGATGCTGTTCTTTTAAAAATTCAATGAGCTGTATTCACAAAGTTTTTAGTCTATAAATACTTAAATTAAAAATAATATATATGGTGGTACTTAGAATGAAAACTGATGACTAATAAAACAGATATTTTAGATCTTGAGGAATAATGCAAATAACTCCTTAATAAGAGATAAAAAGTGTGAACACTTAACTCATTTGTACTTTTTGTGAAAAATAAGAAAGTGTATAGTTTCCATTTAGATATGTGGCTATTCAATTCAGAAGTGTTTTTTGAGGATATTAATCCTTATTTTGATTTAATGGGGGAAAAGAGACTTAAAAAGAGATATGGTAAAGAAAATACTTTTAAGTTAAAGCATATTTTACATACCTTAGAAAAGCTAAAATTTTTGTGTAGGTGTCCTTTACAGCATGTTTTACAAAATATATAACTCTCGAAAAAGGAACTTATATGTGTTGTTAATTGCAAATATCCTTTTAATCCAAGGTCGAATTAAAAGAATATCTGAAAATAAATGATTCAATATGTGAGGTTGACAGCAAAGCTGAGAATGGCATGACTTTTTCACGTCTTCTTAATTATAAGGTAACGTTAATAACCCTTGAACCCAAGGCTCCCAGACTTTGTGCCCAGGTACCCCGGGGCACCACAGAAGAGTCACGTGGATACCATGGATGAGCTTAGATTTTTTGAAAGAAACCTGTGATGCTTGACATCTGTTAAATACCATACAAACTGCTGGTTCTAGGTAGTTAGTTTCCAGTTTCAACATTAGATCACACAACATACCTTTTATGATATCGTACTTTTGTGAAGTTGGGTATTTTTGCAGTTATTGTAAACAGATAGCATGTGAAAATCAATATGGGACAGGAAATGAGGGTAGCTATGTCCAATCTAATTCCAGATTTGAAAGACTACAGTGCCCAGTTGTGTGCACACCTCATTAATGGGCTGTTGTGGTTATTTAAGAATGAAATAAATATTTTTTATTCAATTGATGTATATTATTTATGTAGACAGCTACTATATAGTGAGGTAATGTATACTCATTAAGTTTTTAGACCTAACTCCCCAATAAACAAAACTGTTAGATCTTTTGACCTTGGGGCTCCATGAACCAAGAAAATTTGGAGACCGCTCCCTTAAACATTTGTTCATTTATCAGTAACAGCAAAAAGGAACATTTGTGGCCTGTGTATTCAGATATTGAAGTATGAAAATGTTAATGTCCACCACGCTAGTGTTCTATAACATATGAAGGGTATTTAAAAGGAGGAAGGATTTTACAAGTTTTAGAATTCTATGAATTCTAATTCATATTTCATTTTCAGGAAGTCAGAGAAAGTGAGGAGATTTTAAAATACTATGTTTTTCTCCATGTTCTTTGAGTTCCTTGTGCCTGCTTGATAAATATTATTTTTATTTCTGAAAATATGTCTCGTAGTATGAATCTGCTTCTTTGAAACTATTAGTAATCATTAAAGGTATATCTATCTTATTTACACAGCCCTTTGACTATTATTAGGATCAATTTGTGTTTCTGTGGACATTTTTGTACTGCTTTGGTGGAGATGGGCATGCAGTGGAGTTATTAATAACATTACCTGTTTTCACTTCTTTAATTTTAAACTAAATATACCGAACAATCCTAATAACCTAAAAGCGAGACTTAACATTTTGATGTTTAATATAGGTTTCATTTTTTCTATTAAATGATCAGATTTATTAAATCAGAAATTCAAAATTATGGGTCATTTACTTACCTTTCAAAGCATACTGGTAAAATGACAGGCTTTTATGGTTGCTAACTGCCTTGTTGCTACATCTTGTTGTGCAGTATTCTGATACTCTGAAAAAGATGGATCCTGATCACTTGGTAGCATTGGTGACAGAAGTTATTCCCAATTATTCCTGCTTAGTTTTTTGTCCCACAAAGAAGAACTGTGAAAACGTAGCAGAAATGATATGCACATTTTTAAGCAAGTACGTTAATCTTTTAAAAATATTCTTTTCTGTTTTATTTTTATCATGATTTACATGCTATGTATTCTATTTATTCAACAAGCACTAATTACTTTTTGCAGAACTTTATGTTAAGTTGTTATATTAGATTCTAAAGGCCTGACCCTGAAGAAATTTTAACTGAAATTTACATATGTGAAATATCCAGAGAAAAAATTCTAAGGCTACATAGAAGAGAATGCTAACATACTACCTTAGATCAATTATTCTCAACTTTGACTGCACAGTGAATCGGGGCTTTTAAAAATGCCAGTGCCCAAGCTACATCTTAGGCTAATTAGAATATCTGGGGATGGCACCCAGACATCATTTTGTGAAGCTCCCCAGGCAAATCCAGCTTGCAGCCAAGGTCAACCACTGGCTGAGGTAGTCAAAGGACTAATCACTATAAACGCTGCGGGGATAAATTATATCTTCATCTTAATTTTCTCTTTAACTAAATACTATTCCTTTGTTTTCTTAGTAAGCTTCACACTTAAGCTGTTAAGACATTTGAATTGAATTTCCTATGTAATCAAGAAGTTTATTGGTTTGTAATTTTATAATATTTTAATATTGGCTCTGTTATACTCACTGAGATAAGTATAATGTTATTTTAAGTATGAGCAGTTCCGTTTTTTCTGTACCTGTTTGTCCCATGTGTAGTTTTATTTTTTTTTTTTTCAGACTTTTGGCCCATTAGCCTGTACTATATAGCCTACCTTGAATTCTAATCTAGTCATCCTCTACCTCCTCTCCCAATCCTTCTGGTAGGATTGGTCTAAAATAACGTTAAAGTAATTGAATAATACAAAGATACAGACTTCAGGATAAAGTCTAGAAGTTTCCCATTTGGTAACTAATAATGTACCTTTACAGTGATGATGTTGATTATAAAAGCCTAAGGAAATTAAATTATCATTGAAGTATTTCCAGTAAATCACTCATTTTCTTATAATTTAAGATAAGATAGCACTGGCTAAGTAATATGGAAATTTAGAGACTAACAATTGACTAGGAGATATGAGGTTTATAAATTATACCCTTCACTTATTTTGCTTTCTGATGTTAATAGTTTATTTGTGTCATACATGTTTATGTTTAATATGGAAGCATTTAAAATTTGGGTTCTGCAACCCTTAATTAATTGTAATTGATACTTGATACTTGCTTCAAGAGATAGGAATTAATGCTTTATTTCCTAAGGAAAATTTCCTCTAAGATATATTTTCCATATTACTTGCTGCTTTTGTAAGCTAAAGATTCTAAGCATAGTTTAGTCCCTTTTTTGTGGCTGTTGGCTAAAATGTTAAGTCATATTTAGATGATACCTTTTATATTCTGTATTTTTGGTATAGATGAAGTGAAATCTAGGGCTAAATGGGTTCTGATCTCAATGGCTTTAAAAATAATTTCTTAAGAGCCCTGGGATATCAACTTGTATCTTAATTGTTTGCCTCCTTATCATAAATTTTTGTGGGAATCAGGCACAGTAAAATCACCTGAGCAGTAGAATATGGCTATGTATCTATTTAAATACAAAGACTGAAGCAGATTTTTCTTAAGTGATTGTCACAGTCTCAAGGAATATTATCTTTTTTGTAGCTTTAATTCCTTTGACTTTTAGTCACAAATGTCTTTTAAACACCATTTGCTGACAACTGCCAAAGCTCTGGTCATATTACTTTCCCTAAAAATCTTCCTAAAGTGTTTCTTAACCTAGATACCTAAGTGTTTCTTAGCCTGGAATTCAGGCTAAGATCTGCCTCAGCTTACTCTTCCTTCCTTATTTCTTCTACTTTTCATTCGCCCTGCGATTCATTCATTCTGAACTTTGATCATGCCTTTCATCATGCTTTACCCTGTGTCAAGAATGCAGCTGACAAGCAATTATCTGCAAAAATGCCCTATTTTAAAAATTTTTATAAGCACTGTCTTTTAATTATTTGTGAAATGGTGATTGAAAGGTACTAAATATTTGCTCCACTTCAAAAAAGGAATGATTAAAATTGATGAAAAAGGAAAAGAAAAAAAAATATTGCCACTTCTTTAACATCTGTTCTTCAAGACCCAGAACAGATCTCAGGTTCTCCCACAAAAACTTTCTCTTTACAACCATCTGGTCAGTTATAGATATTGTCTCCCTTCTCTAAAATTTTATGGTGATTATCCATTATTCTCACGGCATATAAGACTTAATTCCTTGAGAAGGGCTCATCCAATACATTCCTTTCAGGACCTTGCACACTGGCTGGAAAATAGCAACAGAACATCTATGGCTCCCCTACTCAGCTGTCACTTGTGATTCCTGCACTTATGACTCGACCACCTTCTTCCCAATTCTTCATTGTTCTTTTGTCTCCTTGCCTCCCATTTCTCAATGTCTTATGAAATTACTTCTTCAGTGAACACCAGCCAGAGCTCTATCCTTCCCATGAAGGAGACTGAAACAACACAAGGTTGTATATATTATATTTATATCTTGGACAATATTTGCTTGCTACTGGTATTCAGAAGTTGTTGCTTTACATTTAAATGGTAATTAGTTATAGCTTTTCTTTCTTTTCTCTTCTAAATGGAATTTAAAACAATATGTGCTCCTAGATATGGAGACATTATTGGATATTATTGAGGCTTCTAAAATACAAGTGTGTAGACAGTGTTTTACATATAATATGTATGATTTAATAATGTATGTTTCCATCTTAAGAAAATTTATAATTTAAAATAAAATAAATCATCTTCAATAAAGATATACAATCTGGTGAAAAATAATCATATCATCTAGAGCAGGGAAGGGACTTAACCTGGTGTCCATAGTGTCCATGGATTCATAGGAAATACAGAAATAAACTTCAGGAAGTCCATGAACCCTCTGAAATTTTAAGCAAAGTATTGTGTTTATGTGAATATTTGTTTTTTTTCTTAGCGTTAATCAGATTTTCACAATGCTCTGTGATCCACACAAAGGTTGAGAGAGAATGCCTAGGAGTTTATGAAATCAGAATCAACTTTCTAAGAACATTTAAGTACCTATAGCAATGAAATTAGTACATTTTTTAAAAAGAATATTTACATGCATCTACTAAAATTAAAATGCTAGGCACTTTGTAACTATAAGATCAAAGTTCATCAGTCTAACATATCTTTTCCCTAGAGAATATATGAAACACAAGGAGAAAGAAAAACAGGAGGTGATTAAGAACTTGAAGAATATCAGCAGTGGCAACCTGTGTCCTGTTTTAAAGCGCACGATCCCATTAGGAGTTGCTTATCACCATAGTGGTTTAACAAGTGATGAAAGGAAGCTCTTGGAGGAGGCCTATTCCACAGGAGTTCTCTGCCTTTTAACCTGCACATCCACCCTAGCAGCAGGTGTTAACCTACCAGCTCGAAGGTGAGATATATAAGTTAACTGTTGGCCAGGCTCAAAACTTCAGTTCCTAGCTTGCCAGGAGTTTTGTTGTTGTTTTATTCTTTCTCAGTAGTGGATGAGAATTTATCAAATGTTTTTTCAGTATTTGCTGAATTGATTGTTTGGTTTATTTTCTTTAATATTTTAATAAAAAATAACATTAGTAGATTTCCTAGTATTTGAATTCCTTCTTTCTTTTGTGTTCTACCTTTCTGGTTTTGATGTCAGGGTTTATTATCCTACTTGTATAGAAACAGAAAGCTGTCTCATCTGAAAGAGTTTACTTAACATAGTGATTTTCTTGAAACCTTAAAGAACGCATTCAGAAAGATTTTTAAGTCCAGTATCTTTTTTTAGAGTAGATCTTCAATTACCTTTTCAGTTGTTACCAAAGCTGTAAGCCTGCATAATTGATTTCTGTTCTTTATAATTTGTGACTTTAAAATTTGTGACATTTTTTCAAATAAATGGTGAATTTTTATAAATCATCCATGGGTATATTTTCTGTTGGGTACGCAGTTTTCTATGTCTCAGTGAAATCACAGTTATTGATCATGTTATCAGCTGCTCTGTTTTCTATTTGTGATTCCTTGGTCTGTCAATTTTAGAGAGATGTTTTAGTCTCCCACTATAATTATGGAGATGTCATTTTCTCCTTTTTGCATTTCTAGAAATTTTTACTTCATATTTCAAAACTATTTAGGTATACAAAGGTTTACTCTAAATATCTTGTTGCTGAATTATATCCCCTATCAATAAAATAGGTCCTTGTTTTTCTCATTTAGTGATTTTACTTGGAATACTAGGACTACATTTTTTTGCCATTTATATATTTTTCCATTCATTTATTTTCAACCTCTGTCACTGATTTAGTTTTCCATTTTCAGGCAATTGGAGAAAAAAATAGGAAGTTACATATCCTATTTCTCTTACTCTAATTGTTACTCTTAAAATTTTAACAATTGTAATCAAATGTTTTCTAACATTGTAGAATTAATCAATAATTATATTCTCTCTCGAATGAGTCTTCTTAGCATTTGTATACTCTCCTATTGCCTCATGTACGTATGTTGCAGTTAACTAGAATTTTAGTTCCAGATTTTTAATTTTCTTTCATCTTATAATCAGTAACTGTTTAAACTTATCTATAAATTATACTTGTTTTTTCCTTACCTCTCATATCATACATCTTTCTTCTGTGATTCATATTTTATTTTGCCATCCTTGAGTAATTATTGTTTTAAATGCTGCATTTGGGGTAAAAAAAATTTCCCCTTTTTCTTTCTTTCTTTTTTACTGTTTTAAAGATTTTGTTCTTTAACATTTTATTTGTCTTAATTTTTATTTTTCTCCCCCTCTCACTCCCCTCTGGTAACCACTAGTCCATTATCCATGTCCATGAGTCTCTGTTTGTCCTGTTCATTGTTGCTTTTAGGTTTATATAACACATGTAAGTGATATCATGTGATTTTCAACCTTTTCAGTCTGGCTTATTTCACTTAGCGTGATTATCTCGAGGTCCATCTATGTTGTCACAAATGGCAGAATTTCATCTCTTCTTATAATTGAGTAATATTCCATTGTATATATGTACCACAGCTTCTTTAGCCACTCATCTGTGGTAGGACACTTCGATTGCTTCCATGTCCTGGCCACTGTGACTAATGCTGCTATGAACATCAATGTGAAAATATCTTTTCAGATGAGTTTTCAAGTCTTTAGGGTAAATACCCAGTAGAAGGATTGCTGGCTCATATAGTAGATCATTCTTAGTTTTTTTGAAGAACCTCCATACCATTTTCCATAGTGGGCAGTGTAAGCCTTTTTCTCCACATCCTCTCCAACATTTGTTATTTCTTGTCCTGTTGATTATAGCCATTCTAACAGGTGTGAGGTGGTATCTCATTGTGTTGTGGT